CCAAGAGCACTTTACTGGTGCAACAGAAGCCAAGGGTAGTCTGTGTAGCTGACTCCCTTATCTAGATACCCAGCTTCCCTGTCTCTTTTCCCCCAGCTTCAGCCCCATATCACAAATTGCCAACTGGACATTTCAAAGTGGGTTCTGGAGACATTTTCAACTCCACATTTCCAAAACCAAAGTCATTTCACACACACACACACACACACACACACACCCCAAACCTGTCTGTCTTCCAAACTTCCCTATTTCTGTCAAAGGCACTACCATCCTTCCAGGGTCTCAGGTCCATGACTGTTATCTTCATTATCATCAGGATGTCATCATCAATATTATTACCTTAGTCTTGACTCCTCCCACTCCCCCACCCCAGAAACTCAGTCTCCAACCTCATCTCTCAGGTGATGCAGCCACACCTTTGCTTAGGCTACTGCAGCAGCCTCCTAACTGATCTCCCTGACTCCAACCTCTAACTGCTACAGGCCTTTCTACAAGACTGTGGCCAAAGGAACTTCTCTTAAGCACTAAAAATAGATTTAACCAGATGACTCTTCTACTCAACCAATTCCACTGGCTTCCTATAGCCTCTAGGATAAAACACAAACTTTTCAAAATTTTTAAATAAATCTTTGAAAACCCTACACAACCTGGCCTCAAAATAGCTTTCGATCCTCACTGAACGTCACTCCCCTTCCCAACACTCTGTGATCTTGCCAAATTGGTCTTCCCTGTTCTTCACACACAACACTCAATCTCCAGTCTCCTTGCCTTTGCATTGGCTGTTCCCCATGCCTGGAATGCATTTGTGTCTCACCTTATAGAGGGCCTCTCTTCCCTTGAAGATCAGGCAAAGTCTTCTGTAGGAAGCTTTTCCTGATCCCCTCACTGCTAGCACCTTCTCTCTTGAACTGGATAACTTGTTAACTACTTTGTATACACCTGGATTTAGTAACTTTGTATTTCAGCTGTATTCATTTTACATGTCTTTGCTGTCTCTCCAATTTGGGCTCCTGGCTGGTAGGGATTGTTTCATTCTCCTCACCAGCAGTTAGCACGGTGGCCTGGCACACAGTAGGTGCGTCACACTGGTTAACTGATTGAAAGCCCATCACCGTCCATGACAACACTGGGAGCTCAGCAGGGTTGATGTTATCATCCCCATTTTTGAGACAAGGACACCAAGGCTCCAATGTTGGTTCAAGTGACAGAGCTGGATTTTCCGCCGGCTAACAAGGTGTTTTCCCCACGACATCATACAGCCTCTTTAAAGAGGGTGTGAGTATCAAGGATAAGTTTGAGAGCTTTTCTTATCTTTTTTTTTTAATAATGGGAGGTGTTTGGGACAGGATGACCAGGGAAGAAGGGTGAAACAAATAAGATTTATCTCGCCAATTGCTGTACTTCTCAAGGAAACCGGTTCGAATGGTCATTTCTATGACCTGAGAAGTCAGAAAACGGCAGAGACCAGAGGCAAAGTGGAGAAGAAAGAAAACAAGTCAGAGGACCTGGGGGTCCAATCCCAGCCATTGCATTTACAGCTTGTGGGGCCTTCCCCATGAGGGACCTCAAGTTTGTTTCCTCAGCTATAAAATGAGGATGTTAGATGGCCTCTGGGGCCCCTGCAGCTCTCGGTCTAGAAGCCTGAAACCAATCTGATATTATCAGGCTTCTGGGTGGCCGGAACAAGTCATTTTTCCTATCTGAGTCTCAGTTTCCTCATCAGTGAAATGGAGCAATCATCCTTCCACTACTTACTGCACAGGGTTATAGTGAAACAATCTCAAAGTACTAGAGCAATGTTGTTTACAAAACAAGCTTCAAATAGTTGCAGCTTTGGCCCCTACAGCTATGCCTCACTTCATGCAACAGGCATGCTCCAGCAAAGCTGAGCCCAAGAGAAGTTCTTATAAATCAAATCCTATTTTAAATAAAAACTGGAGGGTTGTGTATTTAAAGGCCCCCTGGGACAAATCCTATCGTAAACTGAGGAATCCTTTTGTAATCTGATCAAATCACCCCTCCCCTCCTCCCAATCCAGAGGCTCCCTATGGCCTCCAGGAACAAATGCAAAGTTCTGTTTGGCATTCAAAGCCCTTTACACCTTTCCAGTCTTACTGTCTACGGATAGGTACCCGGAGATGCAGTGACTCTGACCTCCAGGCTGTTCCACCAACAAGACATCTCTCAGCTCCCAGTATGTTTTTTCTCTGGTTGTCCCCATTCCTGGAAGTTTTCCCTTCTCTGCTCTGACTACTGACTCCTCTGACTTCCTTTAAACCCCTAACGAAATCCCACCTCCTACAGGAAGCCTTCTCCAACCCCTCTTAATTCCAGAGCTTTCCCTCCGTTAATTATTTTCTATTAATTCTATATATAGCTTGCTTCGTATATATTTGTTTGCATGTTGTTCCCCCCCATTAGACTGTAAGCTCCTTGAGGGCAGGAATTTTTGCCTCTTTTTGTAACCCTAGCACTTAGCACGGTGCCTGGCAGATAGTAGGTGCTTAATAAATGTTTACTGAATTGAATTAAAATGAACCAATTGATGTTTAGTGAATTCTGATTCTCATATAGCAGATTCTTTTAAAACAAGGTTCATATGTACAGTATTTACATCCATTACAACTAGGCACCTCAACATTAAAAAAATAAATAAACAGCACAAGTCTCATTATAAAAACTTTCATTTCTTTAGTATTTGAAGATCTTTTATAAATTGCCTGGGTCTCTCAAACCACTAACTTTATGGAGGACTCCAGAAAGCCTCAATGACTAGTAAGGGATTCAGCAGCAGCAGAAGCTGCCTGCAAATAAGAGTGAGGGTAGCCATTGATTATTGGAGGGTGGAATAGATAGTGTTTGGAACAAAGTGGAAATCAGATCAGGAGCCCCAGTCCTGAGAATACAAACTCTGGTGCCAAAGAGAAAAAAAAAAATGTGAAGAGAACTCTTTGTTCAGACTCAAGCGTTAATAACCAAGGGAGTAGGTTTTTTATATGACCCACAACAGAAAACAAGACAAGCAGAAGCAGTACTGTACTTGTGAGGAGACTTGGGAATTTGGAAAGATTATTTTGAAATCTGAGGCCTAATGGGATGGGGGTAAAGTCACTGTTACTCAAACTAGGTCCAATTCAGAGGCAGTCCCTCACCTTGAGTCTACTTGTCTATATGTGTGAGTTGGAGTGAGAGGAAGTAGACAAAGGTCAAAGTGAGTGCCTACTCCCACAAAGCAAAGTCAGCACTGTGACTGCCTACTGTCTTGGCTTAGCCTAACAAAGTGTCTACAGCAAGGAGCTAAATGGATTTTGGAAGCTGTGCTATCTCTATCAGATTCAGTCATTTTTCAGTCATACCTGACTCTTCATGACCCCACTTGGGGTTTTCTTGGCAAAAATAATGGAATGGGTTTGCCATTTCCTTCCCCAGCTCATTTTACAGATGAGGAAACTGAAGCAAACAGGGTGAAGTCACTTGTCCAGGATCACACAGCTAGTAAGTGTCTGTGGCTGGATTTGAACTGAGGTCTTCCTGATTCCAGGTCTGTCACCCTATCCACCTAGCTGTCCAACTCTATCAGATTCTACCTTCTTCCCTGCCCCACCCCTACCCCACGCTACCGAAACATAAAACATTCAGTAAAAGGAAATGCTCCCCAAGTTATTGTGGCCTAGACCTTTATTTGGAGGTCAGACTGTGGAAGCAGTGAAGAACGAAGTAGGAGCACTGGATTTTGGGGTAGAGCCACTGAACTGAATGACTTTGGACTAGTCATCTTACCTCTTCTGGCCTCACTTTCATTCTCTGTAAACTAAGGAGGCTGGACCACATGACCTCCAAGGTCTCTTCCCACTCTCTGTCTATGATTCTATTTTCCTAAGGCATAAAACAGACCTGGTTAAATGTTTTGTCCTTTAGCTGCAAGGGCCTCCTGTGTGCCAAGCAAAGTGTTAGGTGCTGGGCAGCCAAAGACAAAAAGAAACAGTCCATCTGAATGTGATTCTCAAGCATAGTCCTTCCAGGATGCCTATATAGCCTGCTCTAAACAGGTCCCCTGTCCTCCAGCATGATTACCAGATCCAAATGATGGAATGGAACTCTTCCACCTCCCATCCTAGGAGTTCACAGAACCTCTGGGCCCACCCCCAAGCCCTTTCCCTGCTGCTCTAAAAGCCTGAGAAAAGGAGCCCCTACTCCCAAAGGCCCTACCCACTTCCCCTAACTCCCAGACATCTGCTCTCCCTACTGTTGGCCTTTCTCTAGGGATATGGGGAAGAGGGAGGGAGGCACTTCCATTTATCACAAACACACACTCAGACTCCGCCCCACGTTATCGAATCTCAAATATCTCCCTCCCTCCCCGCCCCCAGCTACTTAAAAGTAGTTTTTAGAAATTAAAATGAAAGAGCAGTAAAAGCAGCCTCTTCTTCACGCCCGCCCGTATAGAAAGAATATGCCCCTTATTCCTTTCTTTGGCAGTTCTCCGTGCTTGGGCGTGATAGGAATTGGAACCTATGGAAAGAAAAAGAGCAGGAGAAGCGACAAAGGAAGGCAAACACCAGCGGGGCAGAGCTGGGGCCCTCAGCCACTTCGAGGGATCCAACTTGGCATCGTTTGCCAAAAGGCCCAGCCCACCTCCCCATTTCAGCTGGTGCTGTCAGGCCTCCCCAAGCGAAGCCTCCCCGTCTTCCACATTCATCCCAAATGTGCCACCCTCCCTCCGTGAATCCCGCGTATCTCGGGAGGCCTCGATGGAAGCCCCCCTCCAATCACGATGTGCCTCAGTTTCCCCCTCTGGAACGTCCCCTCAGCCTAAACCCCGTGTGCCCAGTTAACTTTTGCGCTGCTTTCCTTTCCCAGATGAACCGTGGTACCCAAACGAGCCCCGAGGGATGCGAGCGAACTGGGCAAAGGGGCACGGGGAGGAGATAGGGGCTGTCGGGCAACTTGGGCAGTCGGACGGGGCCAGCGAGCAAACCCTCGGCCGGGCCCCCGCTTACCGCGGTGGAGCCGGAGGAGGACGCGATGTACACGCGGATCACCATCCTGAGGGCGGCGGCGGCGGCGGCGGCGGCTTCTGGGGAGGTTCGGCTGAGTCCTGGGGCGGCGGCGACGGTGGCGGGGGGGAGGAGGGGGAGGAGGAAGAGGAGGAGGAGGAGCGGGGCGAGCGGGCTGCAGGCACTGCTGGGACAGAGCAGACGCCCCGTGCCGCCCGGGCCCAGCCCCGAGGGGAGGGCAGGGGCGGGGCCAGCGCCCTAAGCCCCGCCCCCTCCACCTCCCCCCGGCTTGCCCCGGCAGCGCTGCAGTCCCGGGCCAGGAAGGCGCAGGCACGTTTGCATATTTTCTAAATTGCTTGAAAAAAAAAAACAAAACACCCCACCAGAGCCACCTCGGGGATCTCGGAGAACAGCGCGAGAGCTGCAGAAATGGCCTGAGTTCTCCTCCAGGGAGGGGAGAGAAATCCCAAGAGTGGGTACTGAATTAAAGTGCCACCCCCCTCCCCAGAAGTTACCAAAAAGGCCTGTCCACAAGTCCGGGCTTCAAAAAGATGGCAGCCTGCTTAAAGAACCGCTGGCAGCTGGAGCTCTGCTGGGTTTGAATCCCATCACCTGGGCCAAAGCCCTGGGCGTGGGGGTGGGGGTGGGGGTGGGGGTGGGGGTGGGGGTGGGGGGGGTCACCAGGCAGAGTCCATTCCCCCACTGGAGGGCAAAACAAAGCAAAACCCTTGTAAGAAATACACAAACGAAAACAAATTCTCAGATCAGTCATGTCCAAAAACGGGAGTCTCTCTTTTTCATATTGAGTCCATCACATCTGAGTCTTCAGCTCGGGGGCATGCTTCCTCATCAGCCTCTGGAATCACTCTGGTCCCTGCCTCAATCAAAGTCCTTAAATCTCTTAACTTGGTTTGTTTGTTTTCACACTGTTGTCATAATAAAAAATGTTGTCTTAATTCTGCTCATTTTACTCTGCATCAGTTCAAACAAATCTTCCCAGGCTTCTCAGAAACTCTTCCCTTATAATTTCCTATGACACAATAATATTCCATTACATTCATACACCAAGATTTGTTCAGCTATTCTCCAACTGATGGGCATCCCTCTTAGTTTCCGTCTCTTTGGCACCACACGTCAAATCAAGTCAAGAGAATTAATCGAATTTCATTTAATTCATTTAATTCTTACTCTGTGCCAAGTACTGTGCTAAGAGACCACTCATCCTTCTTAACCTTGCTGAAGCCTTTGACGCTCTTGATCACTTTCTTTTCCCTGATACTCTTCTCTCTAGGTTTTTGTGCCACTGCTCTCTCTTAATTGTCTTCCTACCTGTCTCCTTTGCTACATCTTCATCCAAGTTATGCCCACCAACTACAGGTTCGCCCCGAGGCTCTGTCCTGGACCGCATTCTCTGCTGCCTCTATACAATCACACTTGGTGAGACCATCGCCAAGGCCCCTGCACAATGCCTCAGCTGCCTCGGAATTGCTCTGGGAATTCCCCAACTGCTTCCCACAATTCCAATCTATCCTACATATATCATGTAACTATGAAACATCAAGAACCAACAATGTTCCCTACTGATAGCAAATCTAAACTCCTCTACAAAGTTTTCAAGGTCTCCCCCAACCCTACCTATCCACCTTACTCTCCAACATGAGAAAGGGGCACCCCAGGTACTACAGATGGAAAAAGGTGGATCATTTTCTCCACTCACCTCAACACAGTGGAATAAGTAGCCAAATGTCAAGGCAAGAGAAAAAGAGAAAGGGGGCATGAAGAATCTCACTGTCCATCTAAAATACCAGGTTTATTCTCACCTCCACACTTTTCCTCACATTCCCCACCCCGCCTGCCATGCCCTTTCCCCTTCTCTCTGCCTATATAAACCCTGTCCATCTCTTGAAAGCTCAGCTGCAGTTGCACCTCCTTCTAGCCACCCCAAGTCTCAGGGAACCCTAGCTCTTCTGATCCCCGCCCCATAGCATTTACTGTTTGCATCACTCCTCTTTTCTAAAGTGTGATCTTAGTTAACTCCTTGCGTGGACACTTCTTATCTTCCCAGTGGACTTTGAGCTCTTTCTTTTGTATCTCCCACAGCCAGTTCCTTGTGCCTAGGATGTGCCCCATAAGTCTCTTTTTATTTTTGATTGATCGTCCTTTCTCTGCTTCCGGACTACACCTCTTCTCTCTCCAATTATGAGATAAATTCCTTGAGGGCTGGAACTGTATTTCTCCCGTATCCCCCTAAGCATCTCTCAGTGCTGGACTGTTGAGCTGAGACTGAAGGATGCTGAAATGATGTAGAGAGGTTGGATTTTCAAAGAGACAAGAGAATGGGGTGTAAGGTGATGTAGCATTTAGGATGGGAGAAAACTTGGAAATATTAGTGGGAAGACAGGGAGAACTCTAGAGAGGAAAGTGAAAACTCGGGGAACCAAGTCAAAAATAGAATAGGATCTTTGATAGGAGCCCAAGCTAGCTACATAGTTGGGTGGGGGAGCAGGGAAGGGTAAAGGTGAGAGTAGGGCTATGTTATGAAGGATACCCTAAAGGTATGAAGGTATATAGAACAAAGAAATGAGCTGGTAGGCCTATCGGCCCTATCCTACCACTAAGGAAAAGAGTGAACAAATTAGAAACATGGTTTCTACTTAAAACAGCAAAAGCATGTGCATATATCTCTCAAAAAACAAAGTCCCAGTGGTGAAATGTATTGAAGAAGTGATACCATGTAACATGACAATTTCTGGCTCATAGAAACTACGAAACATCAACCCAAACAATTAACTAGCCAAGAAATCAATTTTCTCTGCAAGCAATAGCTCCCAAGGCCCCTCAAATAACAGCTTCTGTAAGATGAATATAGGGCAAGCAACTAATCACAGAGTGCTTGCAAATAGAGCTCTGGCCTCCCTGTCTGCCATTCACTCCCTCTATTCAAGAGTTGTGCCATCTCTACTTGTAGAAGACCCTCTCCAATGTCAATGAGACCTAACAGTGATGGAAAATGGATGACTTCACTTACCTGGACATCGGCTAGAGCAATGGCATCAAACCCAAATAGACACAGGCCTGCCTGACATACACTGATGTAGGAAATCACATATTAACACTATGTTCTATTGTGCTTTTATTTATTTTGCTAAATATTTCCCAATGACATTTGAATCTGGTTCAGCCACACTCCAGGGTGGCCTTTGCCTGTGTGTTTGACACCTCTGTGCTAGAGTTTCCCCTCAGCCAGAGGCAGAGCATCTAATAATAACTTCATGGCTCGCTTCACTGATCATTTCATGTGTCAAAAGGGAAAAGAGCCCAAAATGGGCAATTCTGTTCTGGATCTGATTCTCATCAGTAAGAAGCTAGTCACTTGGATGCGAATGATGAAAAGCTTGGGGAAAAGTTACCACTCTGTCTTAATATTTGTGATAAAGAAGACAAGAAAACCGAGAAAAGTCTGACACACATCCTAGGTTTTGGAAGAGTAGATTTTGAAGGGTTCAGAGAAAGAATAAGTAAGATTTTTTATGGACTAATATTCTATTGGTGAAATTAATCCAGGACAGATGGGCAGATCTAAAGAATTAAATTCTAAAGACACAAAGAAAAACAACAAAGAAAAACAATCGATAGAAGAAAGAAAAGGGAAAAGTGTAGGTCTAAAGGGGCTGATGTGAATGCACAGGGAACTCATAAACCAGCTTAGATTTTTAAAAGACATCAACAGCCATGCAAAGAAAGATGAATACAGAAGATGGAAACAAGGGAAAATAATGGAGAATGAATACAAAGGCATATGTAATAATAGGGCCAGGAGAGTTGAAGCTCAAAATGAGCTAAGGCTAGTAAAGAATGCTAAGGATTTTTGTAAAGTTTCTTTTTTTAAAGCTCTGTTGGAGAAAAGAGGAGAATCAGAGAAAGAAAAGTGTTTTGCTCAGAGCCAATGGGACAATGATAACAGACAATGAATGGAGAGAAAACAGAGGTACTCAACTCTTGTTTTATTTCTGTATTCTATGCCAAGGAGAATGATCTTTGAACTGGAAAGGACAGAACCAAAATGATTAACAAGGAATTGAAAACCAGGATAAGAAAGGAAATGAGTAAGTAAGATAGTAAGAGAGAGTCTAGCTACTGTTAACTGAGTCCAAGTTACCTAAGCCTGGAGAAACTACAGTGCAAGACACTAAAAGATGTGATTGTTCAACCACTGTCACTGATTCATTTATTTCTTTTTATTCTGACTTGAATGAATATCATTTCCTCCAAAAAAAGTGAACATTTCCTCATGCAAAAAAAAAAGAAGAGAAAAAGAAGACTATGTATGAAAGTGTGAGTCTCTATTTTCCACAGCTTGCTTTATATATCTATGCTAGGTGGTACAGTAGATAAAGTGTTGGGCCTGGAGTCAGGAAAACCAGAGTTCAAATGTGACCTCAGGCACCTACTAGCTATGTGGCCCATGCCAAGTCACTTAAACCCTGCTTGCCTTAATCTACTGAAAAAGGAAATAGCAAACCACTCCATTATCTTTGGCAAGAAAACCCCATGGACAGTATTGGCAGGCTATGGTTCATGGGGTCACAAAGAGTCGGACACAACTGAACAACAACAACATGTACATTTAGATACACATGTATCTCTATATACGCATAACATTCAACATTCTATTTTCTTTTCATTTAAATTTATTTATTTATTTTTTGGTTTTCAACATTCACTTTTATAAGATTTTGAGTTCCAAATTTTTTTATCCCTCCCTCCATCCTCACCCCCCTCCCCAAGAAGATAAGAAATCTGATGTAGGCTATACATGTATAATCATATTAAAAATATTTCCATATTAGTCATCAACATGCTATTTTCAAAGCTGTCCTGGTTGTCTGTCTTTCCTTTTGAACTTCCATTGTCCCTGATTTTTAAAAGAGCCTGGAGAAAAAGAAATATACTATAGGATTGGAGAAAGGCAAATGTGGGCCGGATTTTCAAAAAAAGGAAAGAGAGTGGAGTCTGCAAACTACAGGTCAATGATTCCTGGCAAAATTTTAAAATGTCTTATTAAAGAGACAAACACCAAGAAAGGGGGCTGTAATCTCAAAGAGCCAGCAGGGTTCTGTCAAGAATAGATCATGTCCATCGAGCCCCCTACTGGGCATGGGGGCCCTGGGAAGGTGAAAGACAGCAAGAAAATATTGGTAGCACCCCATTTAGCGATAGCAGAAAACAGGAAATGAAGTAGGTGCTCATTGGGAAATGGCTAAACAAATGATTGTATATGAAAGAAATGGACTATCATTGCAACATAAGAAACAACAAACACGAGAGTGATGCTGAGAAATATTAGATGTGCAGAAAACAATGAAGAGCAAAGAAAGCAGAAATAGAAAAAATATACATGATGACTCATTCATATCAATGAAGACAATTCTAAAAAGGAAACAAACTAACAAACCGTAACCAGTCAACAAACATTTATGAAGTGCCTAATATGTGACAGGCACTATGCCAAGTCTTGGAGTTACATAGAAAGGCAAAAGACCATCCTTCATCTCATGAAACTCAAAGTCTAATGGAGGAGGCAATATGGAAACAATGGTATAATTCAAACTAAATACAGGATAAACTGGAGATAACACAAGGAAGGCCCTAGCATTAAGGGGGCTTGGGAATGGCTTCATGCAGAAGGTAGAATTCCAGCTGCCTCAGACACTTGACACTTACTAGCTATGTGACCCTGGGCAAGTCACTTAACCCCATTGCCTAGCCAAAAACAAAACAAAACAAAATACCAAAAGGTAGAATTCCAGCTGGGATTTGAAGGAAACCAGGGAAGCCAGAAGGGGAGGAGAGGGCAGATAATTCCAGACATGGGAAACAGCCAGTGAAAACGCAGGCATCAGAAGATAGGCTATCTTGTGGGAAAAACAGTAAGAGGGGGACATTGTCACTGAATTGCAGAGAACATGATAGGGTATAAGGTATAAGAAGACTGGAAAGGTAGGAAGGCGCCAGGTTTTAAAGGGCTTGAAATGCCAGACAAAGAAGTTTATCATTGATTCTGGAGGTAATCATGGAGTTGGGCAGTTTCAAGACCACAAGAAGATCACATTGGCAGCTGAATGGAAGATGGATTGGAGGGTTGAGGCAGGGAGGCCAATCATGAGGCTGCTGAAATGCTCTAGGTGGGGACTGATGAGGGTCTGCACCAAGGTAATGGCAGTGTCAGAGAAAAAAGGGGGTGAATATGACTAATCTTGGCCCCAGAAAACATCGTTAACCTTTTTAGTCATGGCCAATATGTTGGTTGCTTTTTCTTGATTATATTTACTTGTTACAACGTGGTGGAGAGAGGACTTCTCTTTGCAGAGGGGAGATAGTGGATAACACTAGAGGTATAAAACCAAA